TAGATTAAATTATTCCCAGAAAAAAATAAACTCTGAGATATTCAAGGAATAAATAATTCCAATCTTAAACTTATCCAAAAACTATAGAAAACTCTGGAGCTGGCCCGGCATGCTGGCTCACACCTGTAATCCCAGCATTTTGGGAGGCCGAGACCGGTGGATCACCTGAGGTAGGGAGTTTGACACCAGCCTGGCCAACATGGTGAAACCCCATCTCTACTAAAAATACAAAAATTAGCCAGGAGTGGTGGCGGGCACCTGTAATCCCAGCTACTCAGGAGGCTGAGGCAGGAGAATCACTTGAACCTGGGAGGAGAGGTAGCAGTGAGCCGAAATTACGCCATTTAACTCCAGCCTGTGCAATAGAGCGAGACTCCATCTCAAAAACAAACAAAAAAAAAAACTAACAAACAAAAGGAAACTCTGGAGCTGTCTCAGGCCAATCTTATGGCATAAATGTTAGCAAACCGAATTCAGAAATGTATAGCAATATTATAAGTAACAACTTATTATTTATTAGTAAAAAGGATAATACACTATGATCAGGGTGAATTCATTCTATGAATACAAAGTTGATTTAACATTACAAAAGTATAATCCACTCAATTAATGGTTTAATGGAGAAAAACTGATACTCATGAGATTTTCTCCACCAGGCATCAAGTCTAATTATAAAGCTATTATAAGTGTGTGTAGTATTTGAACAAAAATGGAGGCCCCAAAATGGACACTTGCGTTACTTAATATAACAGAATGGTATTGCATATTGGTGGGGAAAAAGTGGGTGTTTCAAGAAATCATGCTGGGACAACTGGTCATCCATGTACGAAAAAATGATGCAAGACCTTTATCACATCACATGCAAACATTAATTATGGGATGAATTAAGATCTAAATTCAAAAGACAGAAATGTAGTGATTTTCTTTTTTTTTTTTTTTTTCTGAGACACAGTTTCCCTCTTTTGCAGACTGGAGTGCTGTGGCGCAGTCTTGGCTCACTGCAGCCTCTGACTCCTGGGTTCAGGAGATTCTCCTGCCTCAGCCTCCTGAGTAGCTGAGATTACAGGCACGAGCCACCGAACTTGGCTAACTTTTGTATTATTAGTACAGACGGTCTTTCACCATGTTGGACAGGCTGATCTTGAACTGCTGACCTCAAGTCATTTGCCCACCTTGGCCTCCCAAAGTGCTGAAATTACATGCGTGAGCCACTGCGCCTGGCCAGAAATGTGATTTTAGAAAGAACATAGGAAATGCATTGGGACATGATCTCAGGATTGAAACCTGTGGGGAAGTGGAAGAAGCAGTACAGGACAGAAGGAAAGGAAGGACTGCAATACAGTCACAGCAAAGGCCTCAGACAATCCTATGGGGGTTCTGGAGCTAGAATGGCCCTTCAAAGCCATCCTGAATTGGGATGGAGGTCAGGGCCTTTATATACTCACATGAAACAGCCATTGGATGCAGTCTGATCCTGAGAAAGGTATGTAAATTTTGGTAAGCCCTATCTTGGGGAGAAATTCAGCTGAGATCTATCTGTTCTCAACACTCCCAGTAGCTTGACAATGAGTGCTTCTGTCCTGGAGAGTGGTATCTGGGAGGCATGTGACAGCATCCACTATAGACTTCAACAGACACTTCAACAGAAAAATCCAAAAGGTCAATAAATATGTGAAAAAATTGTCTCTTTATCAGTCCACAGGGAAATGCCAAAAATCCATAAAACACGCTTATCTGCCATTAAATTGTAAAAATTAAAAAAAGAGACTGTAGCATATATTTGCACAGATGTAGAGAAATTAAAATTCTCATACACTGCTTGTAGAAATGCAAGTTCGTGCAACTGCATCGAGAAGCATTTTGCATCATCTAGCTAAAATAAAAAGAAGCAAATGCCCTTTGTCCCAGCGATTTCACCCTTAGATATTTTGAGAAATTCTTGCACATGTATACCCCCAGGCATTTAAAAGAGCATTCATAGAAATATTGTTTATCTAAACATTGTTACCTTTACACTTGAAACAACACAAGGGAAGTTCAAAGCTCAATGTGATTAATAGAGTTGTTTATATAATAGAATACTACAGAGCTATGGAAATAAATATCTACATGGATTAATTACACAAGCATAATTTTGAGAAAAAATAAAACACAGAAGAACACATACAATATGATTCAATCTATTTAAAGTTCAAAAACAGGCAAAATTAAACTATGATTTAGGTTTGCATTCATCAGTGGCAAAAATTTTTGTTTTCACAGGGAGGAGAATAATCATCACTCAAAATAAGATAGAGGTTACCTCTGAGGAAAGGGAGGAGATGTGGTAGTAAGAGGTACCTGGATGCTTCTGGAGGTCTGGGCAATAAACTTTTCATATCTGAAATTGAGTAGTGGACACACGTGGGTTTATGCTATCATTATTGTTTCAATTGTAGATATATGCTTTATTGTTCCTCTGTTTTTATATTTCATAATGACAAGAACCAAAATAAGAAAAGGAAAATAAGTGTTTAGAGATGACCATCTGCTTTTATCAAGGTTCAGCCACATTATACAGAAAATATGATTTAGAGAAAATGCTAAGGGGAGACAGACAGCCGACAAGTATTACTATAAAGCAACAGATCCAGAGAGCCAGCATGAGGAACGAAGCAAGCAAGCAGGAAGGCACTCCGTTCACTCCTCAACTAATGAGGAATACAAAGCTTGTGTTCTGGGCCTCTCACCCTCAGCTGTTCTGGCTTCTTATGGTGCATTAGCCAACAGGCAATGATTGTTTTTACCAGGACACGTACCTTCCCCTTGCTGACCTATTCTCGTTCCTTTGAAAATGTACCGGGTCCCATTCTCTCCTACACATGCAAATTCTCTGCCAGGTTACTGTTCCTAACCTGATAAACAAAGCAGGCTAATATACTCATGGGTGCTCAAACATAAATTTACATATTAACTATCCTAAGTAACCACTAAACATTTAAAATAGCAGATTTCAGAGAAAAGGTACCTTTGCATTCACTGTTCTCTTCCTGAACTCTCACAGACTAATTTTAGACCCTCAAACTCAGACCCTTTACTTCTCTCAATCATAGGCATGGTAATGTGGTTTGTAGGAATTCTTCCCAAACAATATGATTTTTTTTTTTTCTCAACAATGTGATTTGAAGATGATTTCGTGTAGATTAATATAGATCTACCTCATTTTTATTAACTGCTGCATTGGATCACACGATGTAAGATACCCATATCACACAATTAATGGTATCACACAATATAACAGCCATTCCCCTATGGATAAGTATTTAAGTTGTTTATAATTCTGCACAATTACAAGCAATGCTTAAATTAATACGTTTATGGTATATGGACTAACCTGTGTATAGCTGAGAGTTGCTCTACTATAGACACCAAAATGTGAAATTTCTGAGACATAAGGCATAAGGCCTTTTTGGTCATAATAAATATGAAAAAAATTCCCCTCCAAAACAACTACCATTTTTATCTCCAGCCAGTAATTTATGATTTCCCCTTTCTATATCATTTGCCAACACTTGGTCTTATAATACTTGTAAATATTTTCCAGTTAAATGAATGGAAATAGTTCAATATCGCTTTATTTCCCTAATTACTAATGAGATTGAATTTTTTTTTTTTTGAGATGGAGTCTTGCTCTGTCACCCAGGCTGGAGTGCAGTGGTGCCATCTTGGCTCACTGCAACCTCTGCCTCCCGGGTTCAAGCGATTCTCCTGCCTCAGCCTCCTGAGTAGCTGCGATTACAGGTGCGTGCCACCATGCCCAGCTAATTTTTGTATGTTTAGTAAAGACAGGGTTTCACCATGTTGGTCAGACTGGTCTTGAACTCCTGACCTCGTGATCCACCTGCCTCGTACTTCCAAAGTGTAGGGATTACAGGCGTGAGCCACCGCACCTGGCCTCAACATCTTTTTTTATGTTCATTGACTACATGTAATCTCTCTCTGATTTGTTAATTTCTTTTAAAATTGTTGTATACTATATTTTTTCTTATTGGTTTGTAGGATTTTTAAAAATACGTTCTGGATAGAAATCTTGCATTATATATGTGGCTATCTTTAAATTTTGTTTATGGTGTCTTTCATGGTTCACATGTATTTAATCTTTGAAAATACTAAACATATCTCCATAATAACACTGAAAACACTACTGTGTTTCTTCACATGCGGGTCTCTTCCACCAGAGAGTGAATTTCTTGAGAGCAGGAGCTGGGTTTTATTCATCTCCATAGCAACCAGAAAAGAGACTGCATTATTGTAGGTTTTTAGTCAATATTGGTAGCCTTGAATTGATAATGCCTTTAGCCCAAAGGCATGACATTGACTCTTAGAATAAAGAAATGAGTAAAAAAATCTGTGAGATTTCTTATTTTTTATCATTTGTAGTGAAAATCTCATTCTGGTAGCCCCAGGAGCAGTCACTTTTCAATTTATTCTTTCTGCTCTTGGCCTCAATCTCCATCACAGAATTTCCCTCTTTCTATTTTTCTCCCAGAGTTTCTCTGAAAGGTGAGGCAACTTCCACATCTTCACTCACTGCTAGAATTTTTACTGCTGTGGCTTTGAAGTTTAAAGCTGTCCCAATACCCTCCTTTCCCTCCTTACTTCTTGAGAAAACATAAACAAAATGAGAACAGATCTGTGCAAGAAAATCTAGCCAACTAAGTCTGTATGTTACAAACTATTGTCAGATCCTTTGTAGAAAATATGCAAAAGGAGCACAAAGCCTTCATGAAGCTCCATTCAGGGACACGGCTGAATAGACTCCCCAAAATGGGGAAGACCTCATATGATTAAACAGAGAAACTGTCATGATTAAGACAACCGGGCTTCCTTTCTTATCCTATAATACTATATAGTAGTTTTATCATAACTTCACCCAGCTATGGAAAAAAAGTGATCTACTCATGTCATGCTAGACAAACAGAGATTGGAGACAAAGTCAAGAAAATAGCCATGATTTCTGGAGTTTAAAATCTTTTTATTAATAAAAAGTACAATAATTAAACTGAACAAGATTGCTTAGTACCCAAGCACACACCGTGCATGGATGCCATAATGGGAGAGTCTCTGAAGTAGAACAGAGTAATCTCTAAGTGGCCATGCTAACAGAGGCAAATCTTGAGATCTTGAGTATCTCCAGGTGCATAACAGACTTGTTTATGAGAGATTGCTCACGATCCTAGCCTCAAAGCCATGCCTCTGGAGCAAGAACTAGTATAAAATAGAGGAAAAACAAGGTGTTGCTCTAAAGCACTAAAATAATGAGGCACAAACATAAGAGTTATAGAGACTCAAGCTTAATATACTGTTTTATAATTTCTTTAAACAAACTAACAATGACAAAAAATCCAATTAATCCTTTCACTGCAGGCTCCTTGCCCCAACACAAAAAAGAGAACCAGTTTCTGGCACTGCTCTCCTGCTGTGACCTCCTGTCAAAAAACAGGGATGGACACCTTAGGAATTCTCTTCCCCTTTTAATTCAGTGATACAATGAAAACAGCACTGCATACAACATAGTTACAAAGTAACGTCCAACACAGCTACTTACAGTGACTCTAGGAAAGGAAGGAGAGTTTTTAAGTTAACAAAATAATGTCTCTTCCTCTGACCCCAACCCAACACCAGAAAAGGAAATGGAGAGTAATACCAGTGTTTGGAAAACAAAGAAATATCCTGCCACTGGTATAAATCCCATCCTCTTCCAACCCACTCCCACCCTCAACCACCCTACCCAACTTCCCTCCTCCTACCTATACTATTCAGAGTACAGTAAGTCGGGAAAGAGGAAATGTAAGTGGTGAAACTGAACTGCCCAACGTTTAAAGGGCTCTGGAAAATTGCCTTTGTGCTTCTGAGAGTGTGATATGTGATGTGGTCCAAGCAGAGTTACAAAGGGGGAAGAATACAGCTTTTGAAACAATGAATTTTGCCTACCTCTTCCTTTAGGTCCTAATACATTTCAAGTATGGAAATGGATGATAACCCTATTGTTAGTAACAAAGACGTAGGGAACGTGAAAGTAAGAGAATAAATAATATTGCTTCCAGTGGCCACTCTTCAATGATCCTTCTTACTGATTCTAATTTATCTCTTTATCACCTACGAGGCCTAATCTTCTCGTTTACATTGGGAAAATATAAGGTATTATAACTATCATAATAATGGTTATAATACTTGGTTGCTCACTTAAAGATCTCTCATCATTTTTGCCAACATAATTTATGAGAAACCTCACAATATTGCTGTGAGGTAGATATTGAGATCCCCATTTTGCAGATGGATTAACTGAGGCACAGAGAGGTGATCTGACTTGCCTAAGGTCAACCAAGTGAGACTTGTAAAAGTATAGAAGAGAGGTGACGCAGAGTAACATCACTGTTGTCAGAGAGCCATATTTAACAGTAAGAAAAGATAGTGCTGTGTGTTTATTTAAATTTGGCCCACCCAGTTTCTTCTGTGTCCATCCCTCATACAAGGATTAGCAAGCTGTGGAGCATCAGTAAGTTCCTTTGGCTTACTTAAGGTTAGGTACATTCTCGATGGTTTGGATCATAAGAAAACTTTTCGGGAGCAGTACAGACCTTAGATTCTTGGAACTCAGATCACAGAAATCCCTAATTCCAGAATTTTGCAGACCACTTTGTTTCAAAGAGCTGTTGGAGTTCTAAAGATATCACTATCATGTACATACACACTGTGCTGTAGTTGATCAAAGTTGCTTCCCATGGGTATACAGGTTAACAATTCAGATACTGCTATATATGTACACTGAAGTTGAAAAATTAAATAAATAGATGACAGAGGTTGAGAGCCAGGTTTCTCAGTATTAGTGTGGGAGGTTTCAGATAAGTAAGAGGAAGAAGCTAGAATGATTCATGTGGTAACAGATTAGAGTTGAAAACATCAATATGAACTCATGTTTAGCTAAATAAAAATCTGGATGATTACATATAGAAATATTTATAGACATGCGCATATACATAGGATAGTATACACACATATGTTTCCTTGCTCTGTTAGCTGAGATGGCCTAGAAGCAACAACAGCCCAGTAGCAACAAGGATACCTAACGCCCAGATATTGGTTTCTAATATAATTATCCAGTAAAAGAAACCAGGACTCCTAGAAGAAATGGCTGATTATAGGAGTAGGCCACAAAAGATGTAAGATGAGCCTGGAACATCTTGCAATGGCAGAAAGGACATGCTAGGAAAAAATGATGGGAGTATATCAAAAGGAGCTGCGAATCACCCAAAAGAGCTCCCAATTGCCAAAGCTGAAACAATTTAAGCAACAAAATAACCTAGTAGTAATAGATTATAACTCAAAATATAAAATAAATATCCATGAGTCCATGCTGATATAAATAAAGTATCATATAAATAAATAAATGGGAGAGAAGAGACAATCTCCCTTAAACAATGATTCCAAATAATTTATACAAGATACTTGCTCTCAAGGATGTGGCATATAACTTACCATTCCTTAAGCATGCGCTGCACATAGTGATTTCCTTTCAAAATGTACAGTATGGAAGGGAGGGAAAAAAAGAGCACAGGGGAGAAACCTGACAAAGACTATTTCAGCCAGGTGATCAAGGATAACAACAGTGATAAGTCATGTAAATACAGGCATACCTCGTTTTATTGTGCTTTGCTTTATTGCACTTTGCTGATATTGCATTTTTTTACAAATTAAAAGTTTGTGGCAACCCTGTGACCAGCAAATCTATTTGGCACCATTTTTCCAACAGCATGTGCTCACTTTGTGTCCGTGCCAGTAACATTTTAGCAAGAAAGTATGTTAAAATAAGGTATGTACATCGCTTCTAAGACATAATGCTATTGCACATTTACCAGACCACAGGATTGTATAGACATAAAATTTTATATGCACTGGGAAACAAAAAAGTTTGTGTGACTTTCTTTATTGTAATATTTGCTTCACTGCAGTGATCTGGAACCAAATCTGCATCATCTCCAAAGTATGCCTGTATGATGTGATGAAAATGGCACTTCCTCTCTGTGGTCCTACTCTCAAAAAACTCATAACCCCAGTCTAATTATGAGAAAGACAACTGACATTCCCAGTTGAGGAAAATATTTCTCAAAACTGTCAAGGTCACTAAAAACAAGGAAAGTCTGTGAAACTGTCACGATCAAAAGGAACCTAAAGAGATATGACTACTAGATGTAATGTGGAATCCTGAACAAGATGCTGAAACAATTCTTTTTTTTTTTTTTTTGAGATGGAGTGTTGCTCTGTCACCTGGGCTGGAGCACAGTGGCGAGATCTCGGCTCGCTGCAACTGCCGCCTTCTAAGTTCAAGCAATTCTCCTACCTCAGCTTCCCCAGTAGCTGGGATTACAGGCACCCGCCACCACGTCCAGCTAATTTTTTGTATTTTTAATAGAGACAAGGTTTCACACCATGTTGGCCAGGCTGGTCTCGAATTCCTGACCCACCTCGGCTGGGATTACAGGCATGAGCTACCGTGCCCAGTCAGTGTTTTTACCTAATATCCTTTAAAAAGAATATTAGGTAAAAACTACAGAAACCTGAATAAACTATGGACTTCAGTTAATAATATTAACACATCAACGTGTTTCATTAATTGTAACAAATGTACCACACTAATGTAAGATGTTAATAACAGAGGAAACTGAATGTAAGGTATATGAGACCTCTCTGTACTAGTTCACAATTTTTCTGTAAATCTGAAACTGTTAAAAAATAAAGTTTATTTTAAAACAATTTAATATTGAAAATCTTTGTCTTGCCCATAATGCACTCTGCGAATTTAATCTACCCAGTTTACACTCTTCACAGTTTTTCCTAAATTTTATTATAATTATTATGTTCAACTGCTGATCATCAGATAGAGGAATTCTGCTGCAACAAATCCCAGAATATTATCCAATCCTATTGATGCCCTAAGCAACTGTCCAGGCTACTGGTGCTTTGCTGTTATAAACACAACAAATTCAATTGAACCCCAAATGCTATTCAAGAGAGATACATTTTAGTTCCTTTCCACCACCTCACTGTCTGTCTAGCAAAGTTTTATGTGTTTTTGGTATAATAACTCAGTAGTGTTCTATATTTGAATTCCTGTACTCTATAAAATTCTGTTAATGAATCTTGACACACATCTTAGACCATATGTAAGCATTGGGAAGCTTTTATCATTTTTTGAAGCGGAGAGAGAAATGAGAATAGGGTTAAAATTTCTTTACTATAGACAATTAACAAACATAAAGTCTCTCATTATGTTACAGAAACATTTTTAAATAAAGGCTCAGATGTCAGGGACCCCAATATTTGGGATACTAATTTGATCAATCTAATTTGATCAACAGGATATTTGATCATCTTCATTTATAAATAGATCATATATCTCAAGGCAAAAGATTCTGAGGTCTGAGGGGAGCAGTTCAGTTCTGAGCTCTGAAAAAGGAGTATCAGGATCCAAATTATGAAGAGAATGAGTAAGCTTGGGCTCTACTGTGAAATACTGCATCAATTAATCATAAGCTTAAATGTATGTTAATTCACCTTTACCAATCTGTCTTACAGCTACATTAGAGGTCCCCTGTAACAGACTGGCCTTCAAGATCTCCTAGTGCTTTACCAATTATACACGTTTGGAACTTGTATACCCAAAATTAGGAAAAAGCCCTGATTGATAACAATGATAACAGTAAAAACCCACATGTCATTTTGAAAAATGTTGGATTCACAGAGAGTTTATGATATAGATAGACACTGCAAGTTAAAATGAGGTAAATAAAATCTAGATATTATAGAAGTGTTAGAAGTGTGTGTTTAATGTTATCTGGCAATGACCACAAGTACATTTTACTTGCTATTTAATCAGCTGTAGATGATTTTTGAGGTCTAAAGTTTTTCTGAAGAATAACATATAAAATTAGACAAATATTGCCACCAATCATATAAACTTTAATTTGGTTTCATAATGTGATCCTGGCCAGATGTGGTGGCTCATGCCTGTAATCCCAGCACTTTGGGAGGCCAAGGCAGGCAGATCACTTGAGGTCAGGAGTTTGAGACCAGCCTGGCCAACACGGCGAAACCCCACCTCTACTAATTGCAAAACTTGGTCAGGTGTGGTGGCACACACCTGTAATCCTAGCTATTCAGGAGGCTAAGGCAGGAGAACCACTTGAACCCAGGAGGTGGAGGTTGCAGTGAGCCGAGATCACTCCACTGCACTCCAGCCTGGGTTGACAGAATGAAACTATGTCTCAAAAAATAAATAAATAAAATTATGTGATCCCTAGGAGAATGAGCATGCAGGTGTATAAGGCCTCAAAGAAACATCTGGAGAACAAATCTGACCCGTATTTGTCTCATCTGTAAAATATAAGGGATGAATAGGACTAGATGGTTAATGGGATCCCTTCTTGGTGCTAGAATTCTACAATTTAGTGAGAATGGACAGCCTCAGGAAATAGTAACCTAAAGTATTCAAGCAGGGTTGAAAAGAAAAACGTGTTCAATATAAAGACAATCTTTAAAAGAGAGGCTGAGTCCAAATTCAAGTGATGTAAGCCCCCTCCCAGGGGAGGAAATATTCCATATGGAGGTAGATCTGTGGTCCAGGGCCAGGAACAGAGGATTTTATACCCCATATCATATTATAAAACAATCTGATTGGGCAGCCAAATGAGTATATTATGCAACCTGCTGTAATAGCTAAAATAAATGGCTTAGGTTTTCATAGCAGTTGCAGAACATGAAATTGCTTTTTGTACGTCAGTTTCCATGAAAAGCATCTTATGATTCATTTGAAACAGGAATGAATGCCAATAATTCTGTAGAGTGAACAACACTCTGTTCTTCCAACCCCTCACTTCTGTATGACACGCCCCTAGTGTGTGATTTCTCATCATGTAATATACTCAATTGTTTGTGTAAATGAAAAAATAAGCAGCACAGCCAGTCCCTCAAGACACTGTCTCAACAGCCTGCCATTTGAATGAGGTTTGTGATTAACAGCACTTTAGATATCCTGTCCAAATAAATGTACCCCTCTATTTGTTCTCAGGATCATCCTAGGTCTGTTTGTTCCTGTCACGGCCCAACCTACTCTCCTGGAACATTTTTTCCTTACTGACATGTCTACATGTGCTTTGAATATCTGTCCAAATTTAACCTAACAAATAATCATTGTGCAGCAAAATCTTAATCCTGAAGGAGAAAGTGAAAGAGAAGAGGAGGAGGAGGAGAAGGAAAAGAACTCCTCATTCCCTTGATGAACTTAAGAAGCAAAAGCACCAGCACCATCTGAAAACCAAACTTTAAGAGGAAATAGGATTAGATTTATTAAAACCTTTTGAGTTTGGTATGGGACTCAGCTTATTCACTGGAAATGTGCCTCATACTCAGAAACCGAATCCCTGTAAATCTTACCACTCAACTACACTGTTATGGTCTTTCCATCTAGGAACTTAAAAAAGTCATTTAGGACACTATCAAACCACCTTTAGGTACTTATTTAAAAAACATATGGATAAGAGTTCTAGAAAACAAGAGAAAAATAGGAAAGAAAAAAGCAGCGTATGTTTGTTCACAGCCTTGAGTTTGATTCCTGTTTTGTTACTGTAGGAAAAATGTCCTATTTCAGAGCAGGGGGTATGGGAGGCATCCATGGGTGCCACACTGGAATTCAACCCATATGGAGGTTGACAAAAATGGGTCTGGACAATGGAGAGGTGAAGGTGGAATATGAAGAACCCCACGGGAGACCAGCTATCTTTCCCTCCAGTCTCCTCAACTTGGCTCAGTGGGCTGCTTCAACTCCATTTCAGATGCAAGCTGAAGTCAAAGAGGAAAAAACTGTCCTGACCTCAGCAAACAAACAGGAAAGATATGAGCACAGCTTCTCTAGCGCGACTTGTGCAGCTCACATGGTGTCATGGCGACGGCGATGCAGAGACAGGTGGTCAGAACGAGAAAAGCTGCGGTTGCAGTCTGTGCACCGGAAAGGCTTGATGCCTGTGTGCTTGCGGAAATGGCGAGTGAGCTCATCGGAGCGAGCAAATTTCCAGGAGCAGCCATCCCAGGTGCACTTATAAGGCTTCTCTCCTAAAAAGCAAATGTGACAAAACAAAGAGAATCAGAGAGGGGGTGATTGGACACTAGAAAGATGATAGAATACATAACTTGCATCGACTCTTTAGTGAAAAGGTTAGGTAATAACCTTGATGGCATATGCTCGTTCATCTTTTAAATTAATTAATTGAGAAGCACAGTATAAATGTACATGATGTTTTGAGATGTATATACACTGTGGAATGGCTAAGTTGAGCTAATTAACATACATATTAACTATATACTTATCACTTTTTTTGTGGTGAGGACTCTTGAAATCCACTCTCTCATTGATTTTCAGTAATACATTGTTACTTACAGAAGTCCTAAAGAAAGGCCAAGATGTTAGAGTGGGAATCACATAGCCTCTTGTTCAAATAGGCCTTGTGTGATCCGGGTCTACTACAAACTAGCTGTGTGATCTTAAATAATCACTTCCTCCTGGCTTGGTCTCTGTTTTCTCACCTCTAAAGGATAAAAATATATCAGAAAGCTGTTCAAAACATTTTCTTTTTTAAAGATAGCTAGCAGGCAATATACCTAGGATCTAAACTCAGGTCTTTTGCACTTTCTTTTTTTCTTTTTTTTTTTTTTTTTGGCACTTTCCATTGTACCACACTAGTAATAGTCCTCTCCTCTAATGTCACCCAGCAAACAGTCTAAAATAGAGCCATATATACACAGGATGAATGTGTGACTCACTGGAAAGGGCCCTCAGCGAAGGCTACAGGCCTTCTGTGTAAGGTTAGAAACTCAAGGGCATGTAATGGCATGAAGTGCAGTGTCAGGCGAAACTTTTTGAAATAGCTCCATGCCCACAATCATTGGGTTGTATTTGAATTATATATAGGATAGGTATGCTCAAGATAGAAAGCTAAATGGAAAAATAGTAGTATAAAAAAGCACTAACAGAGTATGACCTCATTATGGTATATAGATCACACACCTCACATTTGTATACTCACAATAAAGGCAATATCAATACACTTGAAAGCACATTATGAGAGAAACTGCTAACAATGAATGACTATGTGGAAAGTGAGGACCAGGGATAGTGGGAAGAGAACTTTTCATTTTTACTTTATACCCCTTTGAACTGTTTTAAAATGCTTTAAAATCATACTGTTGTATCATAATGAAAATTTTAAAACAGGAAATAAGCTATATGAACAACAGTAAATATTAATTGTGGATAAGTCTGGGTTGTAGGGTTAGGGTAATGTTTGCTTTCTTCTTGTTGTTTTTGGACATGGAGTTTCACTCTTGTTGCCCAGGGTGGAGTACAATGGCACGATCTCGGCTCACTGCAACCTCCTCCTCCTGGGTTCAAGCGATTCTCCTGCCTCAGCCTCCCGAGTTGATGGGATTATAGGCATGTGTCACCACGCCTGGCTAATTTGGTATTTTTAGTAGAGACAGGTTTCTACATGTTGGTCAGGCTGGTCTCCAACTCCTTACCCTCAGGTGATCTGACTGCTTTGGCCTCCCAAAGTGCTGGGATTACAGGCACGAGCCACTGTGCCCAGCCTGCTTTCTTCTTAATACATTTTTCTGTTTCCCATCTTCTACAATGAACATGTATTATTTTATAATCAGAAACAAGCAATAATGCAGACACAAAAATGTATTGGTATTCTAATAGTCTCTTTTGGTCTTTTCCCCTTTTCTCCTTGTAAATTATCTAGGACATTTAATTTTATGCTGTTCTAAATTCTGGTGGCAATCTGGCTTGCATAAACTGTTTTCCAACTTACTACACACCACCTACCAATCCTCCCAAGTGTTTGCTAATTAACTGTATAGTATTCACATAATGAGCAACAGAGTGTAATCCAGTCTGAATCACAGCTTTGGAATATACCCAGGCAAACACTTTGAAGATTAAAGACGTCATTACTGATCATTTCAATATTCAGAAATTGCTGCATTAGCTGCTAAGAAGAATGAGATAAAGCTGAGTGTATTGAGACAAAAAGATGGCCAATGAAATGTTATCAAATGAAAAAAGATACTGAACAATCAAACAACACACACGCTCACAGAGAGAAGGATCTCATTTCTGTTTTCTAAACCTTGTTTCTGTCTCTGTCTGTCTGTCTGTCTCTCTGTCTCTCCCTCTCCACGCAGGAAAGATCTGGAAGGCTATACAACAAATTGTTAACAGACGGAAGGAGAATGGGATTTCAGGGGATGTTTACAGAGTGTAAATGAAATTTTCACTTTTTGTTCTATGTGATTTTATATCATTTCCACACCTCCCAACAGCTGCATTGCTATCTATATGTTTTGTTGTGATCTCTCAAAAATGTCTTCCGAAAATTCCTATCTACATCTCACCCAAATGAGGAAAATTAGACTTGTAAAGCAGTGACACCCTGTGGTGATCAGAGCTTATTTCTAGAACACACAAATTACTGTAAATGAATTCAGCAGTGAGGCCCATTTTCCTATTTCAAAAGTAGTTACCTTGTATTACCACTGAACAAGCTCCTGTTTGTTACAGTGAACATCATACAACACAACTTGTGATCTCCATCAACTTTTCATTTGAATTAAAGAACAAAGCATATATTCAGAAAAAGAACTGATAATATAAAGCACATATATTAACTATGTGGCAAAGATAGTTAAGTGTGATATGTCGGGCATGGTGGCTCACACCTGTAATCCCAGTACTTTGGGAAGCTGAGGTGGGCAGATCACTTGAGGTCAGCAGTTCGAGACCAGCCTGGCCAATGTGGTGAAACCCCGTCTCTACTAAAAATACACAAATCAGCCAGGTGTGGTGGTATATGCCTGTAGTTGCAGCTACTCGAGAGGCTGAGGCATAAGAATCACTTGAACCTGGGGGGCGGAGGTTGCAGTGAGCTCAGATCATGCCACTGCACTTCAGCCTGGGTGACAGAGCAAGACTCTGTCTCAAATAAATAAATACATAAATAAACAAATGTATGTGATATGAATTCCAAGGCTAGATAATAAGCTCTGGGTTACTATGAAGGCACAGATATGGAGGCATGGGTAGGTTTTAGATGAAGAAAGCAATCCAGTCAGCTGATGGCAAGGTCTTAGCAAGGTAACGCAGTAAATGTACATATAGGGTTAGCCATCTTGGAGCATGGAACATCCTTACAAGAATATTATGAGATGATCCTTATTATGAAAGCCACATGAAAAACTTTGGATTATTTTTAAAAAGAGAATTTGGACTTAAGCATGAAAGGCAATGATATGCCCAAGGGAGTGAGGGAGAGAGCAGTCTGTCCTAGGTGTGAGCAATAATGGGGATGCACTGACAATAGAGAACATTAAAACAATAATAAAACAGACTAAAAGTCTGTTTAACTCAAGAGTGACTTGGTCAAAGTTGTACATTAAAATTATTTAGCCATGCTGTGTAAGGTGATTACAATGACTAGGAGCCTACTGGGGCAATCTATTTGGCACATAAAGCTCAAATTAATTTTTTGCAGAATTGATAAAGAAAACAATAATAAATATAAGAATAAAACCTAAGAAAGTGCCAGCGAGACTGAAATAGAAAGAAAAACATTAATAAAAGCTAGCATTTATTGAGTATTCACTATATGCTGGATACTATTTAAGTATTTTACACTATTAATATTCCAAGATCGGGAAATAGAGGTTAAGAGGGGTGAGGCAACTTTCAGCAATGAGTAGTAGACTGCGATGTCAAATCAAGACACTGTAGTTTCATAATACATAGTTTTAGCCATTATGAATAAAAAGGCTATTGAAAATTAGAAATAATAGAACTTTAGAAACAAATAAGACATAATGTTAATGGTTCATGCCTGTAATCCCACCATTTTGGGAAGCTGAGGCAGAAGGATCACTTGAGTCCAGAAGTTTGAGACCAACCTGGGCAACATAGTGAGACCTCATCTCTACAAAAAATAAACAAAATTAGCCAGGCGTGGTGGCACCTGCCTGTAGTACCAGCTACTCCAGAGGTTTGAGGTGGGAGAATCGCTTGAGCCTGGGAGATCAGGGCTGCAGCAAGTCGAGATTGTGCCACTGCACCCCAGCACTGGAAACAGAGTGAGACTCTGACTTGGGGAAAAAAAGGAGATAATGTTAAGAATCAATGATACATTTGGAGCCTGGGTAAATGGGTAATGCCATTATAAATATACTGGGACTTGACGGTACGCTTACAGTACGTTTAACGAGAACTGTTAGATCTGTATTTCCTGCTTTGTATGACTGCAAACACGGGGGGGATGAAGTGCTCCATTGCATGCCTGGCGTCTGCAGATAAGCAAGAGTCTCATGGCTCTCTGCTGGAAGAAGATCTACCAAAAACAGAGATGGCACTGTCTAGGACCCTTAACAATGAATCACAATCTTTGGAAGGCAATGAATCAGGCATTTCTGTAGCTGCTTCTGTCCCAAGGAACCTGTGGAGTACTAGCAATAGAGAAGTATATCTAGGTTAGACACAAAGGTTTAATCCAATGAGGCTTTACCCATTTACTACCTGTGTAACTATTCAAAATTAGAAATAGCAGAACTTTAGAAACAAATAACTCAAGTCATAAGAGAATATTAATGGTTGATGTGTGCTTCAGACAGAGAGAGTATAGCACTTGTGAAACATTGCATTAAACTCAGTGTAACTATTGGCAAATTCCCCATCTCTATAAATGGCACCTCCATTCACCCAATCACCCAAAGCAGAAACCTTAGAGTCACAAATGTCCTTTCAATCATCAGTGTACTTCCTTCTCTCCATCTCCACTGACGACATACTAGTTGGGCTGTCATCATTTATTGCGTGGATTGCTTCATTAGCCTCTTAAATGATCTTGCCCCTTCTACGCTTGCACCTCAATGCTTTCTCCACCCACCACTGTGCTCAGTATGTCCTAGCTAAGCTTAACTAGTACCAGTTATTAGAACAAGGCAAGCTTAGTGCCATCTCACTACTTTCGTACTCTGCCTAGCCAAGAATAGTCTTTTGCCAAGCTTTT